CAACCCAGGGAAGCTTTCTGTACCCATCCTCCCCAGGAGACTGCAACCCAGGGAAGCTTTCTGTACCCATCCTCCCCAGGAGCTCTATCTTGCAATGAAGTCCAGTTTTGCCTCAGCCTCCAGCCCCTCACTTCCTCCCTGTTCCAACGTTAACATGTGCTTGGCTGGTGACCACACAGATGACCACAAGCCATCTGACATATTCTCCCTCATGACCAAGTGTTCCTGTGATGCCCTTTTAAAGATGAGAAGACTATAGCAGGAAATTGGCTTGAGTGACTTATCTCATAGTGGGCTCACAGCTCCTAAGCCAACTTGTGTTTCTACATGTGGTTTGCACCCATCCATCCTCTGTGCCTTTGACCATGTGGTCTCCAGCAAGAACCATCACAAAGAGAACAGCAACAGATAAGGCTGGAAATGGGGCTTACATGCCTCAGCTCAGCTGCGTGCAATGAAGGCATCAGACGCAAATCTCACCACTAAGACAGGGAGCAGGAGGCAAGACGTGGTTTCTGCAGCGCTAAGCTGTCTGGTGCACAGTGAAGGCAGTGTGGTTGCTGCTACAATTATACACAGATAACCCACCGGATAAACGCTGTAATCGCTCTAGGACTGTCGTGCGGTCTTCCACGTTATAAAAGCTATCTTCATGTCAAAGGGCATCTGAGAGCCGCTCTGGTATTCAGTGCTTTTCCAAAGAGATGTGACAGGGCACTTGGTATAGTTCGTGCGACTCGCCACACTCATCACCCAAAAAGAGCAAATCAAAGCCAGAAAAAAAATGCAACATATGTTCAACCAAATAAGGAAGAAACCATTGTTTTTGGCTCATTAATACTGTTATTTGGATTTATTTAGGCAAATATTTCTCTTTTTTTTGTGAGTTCTGCTCTGAAGTGGAGTGTACACTTTAAAAACAATTTCAACAGTATCTGTGGAGCCTGCCACTTTTGCACACTCTTTTATTAAAGAGGCTTAAGAAACGGAGGCTCCCCCAGACTCAGCAAGGCAGGCCGGATATGGAGAGCTGTCTCCAAGAAGACACTCGGTGATTTAGTAACAATCAGACAGTCTTTAGAAAACGGTGACTTCCAGATGATGCTAGAAGATTATGACCTGCCTAGGGGTACACAATAAAACAAGACAGAAACCACAAGAAACAAAAGGTAAGAGCAGCATGAAGTCTGTCTACGCCCCGTGGGGGACCCCTCGCTCACCCACTGTGTAAGAATACAAGACGCTCGCTTCCACCCCTCACGCATGTAGTCACTTTGTGTAGACTTCACAAGGTTTCAGCTCAGGTTGGGTATCAGCCCACAGCACCTGCCTCAGGATAGAGCTGAGAGGCCAACACAGGGAGCTTGCTGACTCAGCCCTGAAGAAGCAAGAACAGTTTCTCTAAGAGAACTTCAGTGCTGAAGGCTGGGCACTCAGAGGACGGGTGCCTTCCCAATTCAAACTGGACGGCTTTTTAGAATACTATATCCAACAGTGAGCTTCTACTGCAAATGGATAGTATCAGAAGATGCAGTTATTTCATAAACAACAGTTCAGTGAGAGACACAATAAAAACCAACTACAGACTAGATAAAAGCCAGTTCTGTTTCTAAGGCCGTTAAAGATCTGACTGTAACGAAGAGCAGGGAGTTCTCAGACCACACATCTCCAGATCACTCATGATTAGAAGAGTTTATTAGTTATGCAAATTAAGCCCGAGGCTAATGACTGAAATAGGTCGCTTGAAAAGTCAATTCAGAACACGAAGAAACCCCATATATATCATTTTGCCACATGTCAAGGCAAAGAATCATTGCGGAGAAGGATTAATGAAGAGGCCTATCGTTCTACAAAGTCACTTCTTAAGAGAACTCTGGGGATATGGGGGGTATACACACAGTTCCAATTACACATTAATGTTTACTATAAAACCCAAAGATGCAGTGACTGTAAGTTGGGTAACATTATAAGTTAAATAAAAAAATCCTTGTCAAAAAAAATAATAATCAGGGCCAGACCCTGCTGGCTTTCACTGGGAAATATCGCTGACACAGCAGCGGCTCTGTGCGTCTGACCGTCACCCGTCTGGACAACAGCGAGAAAATAATGTTCTAAAGGAAGAAATTAAAGTGACTTCCTCGTGAAGCTCATGCAGCATAAGTGAGACATAAGGCGTTGGACTCCTGGGAGGACAGAGTAGCCATGTGTACTTCCCCATGGGGGCACGCCAAGCACTCCTCCACACTACAGCTGCTCCTCTGCCCCCAGGATGGGACTAGCACATGATGCTCCTGACACTGCCCGGGGTGAAAGTGCCCAGCAGCCAGCTGCTAAGCCTTGGCGTCAGCAAAACACGTATGCCATCTATTGCAATCTCAAAATGGATCAGTGCTTGGCAGTACGAAAATACACTTGCGAATCTGAACACTTCCCGTTGTGCTATCCAGCCATCTTCATGAATGTACTGGTATAAAGATTATTGCCTATACATACTTTCCTTCTGAGAAAAGAACAGGCCTGTGTGTGTGTGTGTGTGTGCGCGCGCACGTGCATGAGCGTGTGCGTGTGTGTATCCTGCATACAACTGCTTGATAGGACAATTGGTTACCTTTTCAAATCCCTTGACTGTTTTTGGTGCTATTTTAAAATCTGATCTTATCACTTCCCTCTTTTCAAGGGAACTTGTACAGCAGTGGACGCTGCTGTGGAGTGTGTGAGAAACTGGTTCTCCATGTCGCTAAGTACTCTCTTCTGCCTGTGACGTAGGGGAAGCCTTTCAAGTAAGCACAGGGCTTCCTGGAAAAGTCCTGAGCCACTCACAGGCCTGGGAACATCTTGTTAGAAGCAACATTCTCACAGTGCCTCATTGCTTGACAGCCAAGGTTCTGTTTTTAGGACGCTTTCTAGTTCTTGAATGTACAGAAGAACCTTGTGTATAGAGTAGCCTGGCTTTCAGCTTGGGGTCCTCTTGCTTCAGCTTCCTGAGTTACAAAAAGCCATCCCATGCTATGACATGGTGAATCCTAACTCTAAGGAAAGTCCTGGGGGTCAGAGTAGTGAGAAACACTCCATAAATCTGTTAATGTGGCCTAATGGGTTCCCCAAATGAACAGGTGCTGTTATTGGGTAGACTGCTACTTTAACTACAGATTACACTGCATGGACAACTCCACAGCTAAGCTCCCACACGTCGATGAAGAGCAGTTGGGACAGGCTCACCATGACGCACAGAGGGAAGCTGGTAAACCGATCATTTAGCTACATTTCGTGTATGTTATTTGAAATGAAAGGTTAAATCTGTAATGTTCACCAAGCTTCCACTTGCCCGTCGTAGGAAGCTGGAATTTTCAATGCCATTGTTTTGAAATCTAAGCTTAAGATGGAGGAGGAAATTATGCAGGCCTGCTGGTACCCCCCATCAATGGAAGAACCCTAAGATTTTCCTTGACAGCGTTTTTGGGATCAGGTATTTTCCTGTCTTGGCAACAGCTGACCCGTTCAGGCATGTGCTCGCCCTCCTTTCTCCACTCAGCTGGAGCAGTGACCTTTCGAAAGGAACTAATCTGGGGTCAGTTTCATTTTCTCCAAAAGTCATGCTAGATCATGGCAACCATTAAAAGTCTTTATCCATATGTGTGTGTTTCCAAAACCTTAACTTCCATGTATTTTACATTGTGACTACTTTATTATCTCTTCAGAGATAGCCTTCTTTCCTTACCCTCCCATTTGCCTTGCTTCATCTTACAATGCCCAGTTTATGGTAATTATTTCATTAAATATCTAACTCGCCACTTTCTCCTTTTTTGGTTACTCTTAGAAATCTATTTCCTATATACTGTGTAAGCTTCAAAAATCGGTTCTTCATCTCCGTGGCATTTGAAGCCACAGACAAGATGATTATGGCCTGGGACCACCTTTGTTTTAATTACTGATGTAAAAACCACACAGCGAGGAACACTAGGTGAATACAGTGAATGTCTGCTTCTGTCATGGAAAGAGTCACTCGCAACTAGAGAAATCAGACTTCCAGTCTCAGGATACAGAGGTAAGGGAGCCAAGCCAGAGGCCAGCTGCACCACAGGGAGCTGCAGTCCAGGGACACAGGGTAGAGAGTGGAACTCAGTGGTCAAGTACTGGCCTCTGTGAATCAGGAGTTTCATCTAAATGCTACCATTAAAAAACAACTACAGAAAACCCACAAAGAGTATACCTTGAAAGCAAAAAAATGAACCAGAATCTCATTGTTTGCACCACATGAGCAGCTGCCTGAGTAACAGATTTCACAGTACCCATGACACTGAGAACAGGCCTGGTCAGTGCTCGCTGTGGCGTGTGCACGGCACGCGTGTCACGTGGGCTCAGCTCACGAACGCACTTCAGATATACCCAATGGACATCTACCCTCTCCTCCTGAAATAACGCCACGTTATTATGACAGATTTGGGGGCTGTCATTCAGGCAGCACCCCCACGCTTTACCACCCATACTGGCACCTGTCTGTAAGCCCCATGCTTCTAAACTCTGAGCTCTGCCTGTCTGGAGTGATGGCGTCGCGGCAGACTGTGCCACCATTGCAGCTTGGTCTACCGAGTCCTAGCTTTGAAACACAGTTTTTGGAACAGAATGCACACTAAATGCATGAGTGGGTGGACGATGGATGGACAGATGGATGGGTGGAGAGAAAAAGCATCACACAGATTTACCTATCAAAACCTCACCAAAGGTCCTTAAAGATGGTTTTGTTAGTAGAGATGTTGAGTCCCTTCACATAATTTACTTATTTCAACACTGTAAGAATCCTGGCAGGTTCGCCCCTGCTGGGTATTTATATTTAATTAATACTGTTACAACAGGGTCCCAAATTTCAATTAATTTTTTTAAAAAAATGATCAAAGCTTCTCAACAAATAATTTGCCATGCTAAGCTAAAGAAAACAGAAATCAATACACACCTAGTTAGCTTCTAATTCCTACAAAATAAAGAGAGAGAACTATACTTACATATAATGTAGTAATCTTTGTTCTTCTGAAATTCTAGACCCCAGAGGTTAGGGCTGAATTCTTGAAACTTGATGGTGAATTTCACATCTTGGTCTGGTCTGGCACAGTTGAGCAGGGGGGTATTCTCCTTCTTAATAGTGCATTTGTCTGCTTGGTCTTTATCAACCATATAAACTTTATAATATTCATATTGGCCAACAGTTTTAGAGTCCACTTTGGGGCAAATAATATCCAATTTGTCTCCTATCTGTGGGTATAGTACCAGGCCTTGTCCGGGTAGAAATCTAAAAAGCATAAAAGAAAAACCACTGAGTTGATAAACGTGAACATCCTTAAATGCAGACACCAACGAGCCAGATGCTACCAGTCACCCCCAGCCACGACGTCAGTGCTGCACTCTGATTCACCAGCGGTGTCTCCAGGGGACAGATGCTTTGGGGAATTTACCTCAGAAAACAAAAGGTGGAACCCCTCCTCCTTTGAGCCACCAGGCCCTGCAGCCTGCTGTTGACACTCGGTCCTCACCCCCGCCCTTGTGGTATTCCAATACTCTTTTGTGCAGCTTTACAACTCTTCCCCCTGCGGTGAGTCAGACCTTCCCACCTGTTTGTTATTTTTTTTTTTTAACCATTGGCATCATGGTTTATTGGGCATGCCAGGGAGAGCTCATCCATTCCAGGAACAGCGCATGCACGGAACCTTTGTTGTCCTGGTAGTCTCCATGTGCTGTTGATGTTAATTAACAGGCAAGTTTCATCAAGAATGTTTCAAATTACTTATCATAATTAGTCACTCACTGATCAAACAATGGGCTTTTTTTTTAATGACACAGAACAAAAGAAATGTCTTACAAACCCATAAAAGATAACCAGAAATAATTAGTGTCGTATTGATTCAGCTGCAAGATGAAGAGCCCTCTCCTTGTGAAGACAACAAGTACCTCCTTGGTCTACAATCTTCCCCCCCCCGTCCCCCCCCCCTTGAGATGTATTTGTTCCAATTAATTCTCCGAAGCAAATCTTTAGAACTAAGACTACTGATACCAAATCCCTTGGATGCTCCTGGCGCAAGGCTCTCCTCCTTTCCTTTCTCGCAGGCCGCGTTGCTGAAAGATCTGCCCTAATGGGGAGTTTCTCTGAGATGCTGAAACAAGAGCTTCCTAATGAACATCCTTCTGCAAGTGCTAACACTAACAACACACTCAGAGAGAGCGGCCAAGCCTGCAGGCTCATTAAAATATTAAAGCTCCAGAACAAAGCAAGGCCTCCCAATCCTTCCAGCTTGGACTCTGGCATTATTTAGCCAGAGAGGCCCACCAGCCTTGATGACCCTCGGAGCCAGGATGCAGCAACAGGTAAGGAAAGGGTGAAGGCGCTCCCCAAGTCCAAATCCACACCAGCTGTTGTGATTTATGTAACCAGTGGCCAGTTCTCAGCCAGTGCATTGTGCTTACAAAGTAGCAGAAAGCAGGACTTACATTTTAGACTCACATTCATAACTGATACTTTAATTCTTAGAAAAATTTTGGACATGTATCAATGTATCTTGGTCCTATCTATGCCCTACTCCTTCTCCCACTGCCCCCAACCCACAAAACATTTGTTCCGTTCACAGCTTCATGTCTTAAAAAGATAAAATAACTTGCTGAAACTTTTTTAGGCATGCTCACACACACATACTTACACACACACACACACACACACACACACACACACACACGCATATGCACAGGGTAGCTTGTGACTTTCTTGGGTGTTCTTGTAGAACCTCAAAGAGAGAGTTGTCCACTGACATCAGTATTTTATTGTTGCCTATTTAATTAAATTAGTCCCTTTAACAAGAACATATGATATTTACTCTTCACTCACTCAAAAACAAAACCAGAACAGAAAAGAGGGCTCAAAGCATAAAGGTGCAGGCAAGCCTGCTGACTTCAGTTCAGTCCCAGAGACCCACATGCCAGAAGTGCAGTCCACCAAGCCAGTCTCTGCTTTCTCTAATCCTCCCCTGGAAATACAAATGACTTTTTTTAATGGCAAATTTCTATGCAACAGAACGCAAAATGATTTTTTTTTTTTTTTTTTTTTTTTTTTTTTGGTTTTTCGAGACAGGGTTTCTCTGTAGCTTTGGAGCCTGTCCTGGAACTCCCTTTGTAGACCAGGCTGGCCTCGAACTCACAGAGATCCACCTGCCTCTGCCTCCCTAGTGCTGAGATTAAAGGCGTGCGCCACCACCGCCCGGCGCAAAATAAATTTATAAAATTAAAAACATCCATATGTATATTGCTGGAGAATTCTCTATAACTCTTAACAAACGCCACTCTGGCGTTATCCACAGTTCTCAGGAGACTTTGTAAAAATACAACCCTGGGGACTAAAGGACTTCCCTACAACTCCTTCTCTCTAGGTAGGTTCTTCTTGATGGATACAACTCAACAAAGTTCCACAAGGCCCAAAAGTCACCCTCTTTTCCTTCCCCCAGGTGATTCTGAAGTGTCCTGCAGCTTTGGCAGGGCAAGATGGGGGCAATAGGTACTGCACTAAATTCCAGGAACATTGAGTTGCTCACCCTCTCAGTTTGTACCTTCTTGTGCTTCTTCTTCAACCTTTAAAGGAAATCCTTAAGGCCTGTACAAAGCAACAGCAAACGCAGGGGTCAATTCCTACCAGAGGCTTTCCCTCTCCCTAATCTGTTTCTCCTATAGTTGGTGTCACTGGCACAGTGGGACCCTATGGAAAGTGCTAGCTAGCCGTGGCACATGTCTTCTACACAAAAGTCAGTCCCTTCACCATCGTGCAGTGGGAGGAGGTGGCTTCCTGGCCTCCACAATCAGGAGTCTAACTGAGGCGTATGGTCTCATCGACGCATTCAACTCTTTAAGGTGGTGTACCATGCCCACCTGGCCGGTGTATCTGTGCGCATCTTGGGGATAACCCACCCACCTCCACATACCCACCTTCCCACCCATGCCATAGCATCCCTTACGTCTGAAGTCTAACTCATGAAGCTCTCTCTTCATTTCCCAAGGTCTCTATGAGGATTGTTCTCTCACTGGTTAACTCAGGCATCAGGGGTGGCTCCGCCTACTCAGATAAGTCACATCCCTGCAGTCTCTTCTATCACCAGGTCACCAGACCCCAGCCGGGGCTATCAGCTGGTGTGGCTTCAAGAACTGCTGTGGTTTTTATGATGTTTTTAGGAGGAACAAATCACATAATATGAGCTTTCGATTCATCTTGCAAATCAGCCTTGATGTTTAGTTTTAATTCAGTGTGTGCAGTTTGCTGGTGGAGCAGCACAGTAACCTGTGGTAACCTGTGAATACACAGTTGGAGGGGCGGGATCTTAAGTTTCCGTACATGTATAGGATATAGTTCGGGCCAAAACTACTGTTTCTAAAGCTTCAAGGAGGATAAATATGGTAAAATTGAAACAGGAATTCGATCTTCTGCCTGCAAAAAGTTGGTGTTCCAAGTGTTCACAAGAGAGAGAGAGAGAGGCCTCTGCACGGCAATCCACAGGAAGGGACCCAGCACTGAAGTACTAGGCTGTATGAGTCCATCTGTGGAACGTCAGCACACTGTCACACCAACCAATTGGTGGGTCATGGAGGGAGGCTGAGCAGAGCTGAGCCGTCACACATCCCCCAGAGCAGACCTCTCAGAGCCCTCACCTCCCCAGAGCCAGGGACAGAGTGCTGTGGAGGGCTGTCTTTCAAACACAACCATTACCTTCATCAGGGAAGTTGTGACCGCTTGCAAGAGTCCCTGGATGGGCCTGCTGCCTGTTGACATCCCCTCACGGGAAGGGGCAGGGAGGATCGACGCACCTCCAGACTCAATGCTCCCTCCTTCACTTGCCTGCTAGCTGTATGTAATTCTGTCCCATGGTCTTGTATTCTCTAGAGGTGACCATAAAAGGTAACTGAAGGTCCATTCCACCGATGCAGCTACAGAGATGTCACCACTCACGCTGGGGGGAGACTATGCAGTGGCATGGTTCCTCTAGGGTCACCCACCCATGCTCTGATGGCAATCCCTCACCCTGCTCTGTAAAGGAGCCTCCAAAATTCATTGGTTCCTCAAGTTGGACTTTGATGGGACCATCGTTTGGTTTGTTCTTGGTGTCCGAGGAGGCGTTTGCTTACATCTCCCCCAAGGAAACAGTTCCCACAGCACAGTCTCTTCTATCCCAGGCTGGCTGGGGGAACTTATTATGTACGTGAGGTGTGAGGTTAGCCTAAACTGCTGACCCTCCTGCCTCCGCTGCCCACGTACTGGGATTACAAATGTGCACCTATACTCCTAGCAAGCTGCACACTGTTCTAGATGCTCCGAGAGACGTTAATGGATGAGGACTGGGTCTTCAGGAGCTAACAACTTAGTTCCTGAAGGTGGGCTGCTCCCACGTGTGCGCAGGCGCCCATATGGTTGCCGCACGATAGTGCTCAATAAAATTGTGCCCTGGTGGAAAAACACAAGTGAGCAAACAGAAGCTAATGGCGGGTGACACGTGCTGACGTCTGCTACGTGCGGACGTCATACGTGCCGACGTCAGGTTAAGTGCCCCAAACTCACGGCAGATCACAGGTAAGATTGGAACTTTGAGGACAGGCCACTTCACTGGGACAAATATACAGAGGAACCAGGCCGAGGTGTCATTCCACGGACTGTTGTCAGGCAGATTCTGACCCTGGCTCTGTGGGTTTCCACGGCTTCCGACACCCCGTCCCCTCTTGTTTAAAGCACAAGGCAGCTGCCACACGCATCCAGGGCTGCTAACCACAAAACCACGACCAGGCTGACGCAGGGCTGAGCCTTGCTCCGCTCACCTCTCACCCCAGAGTGTGAGCCACACAGGTGCCCCTTGTAGAAGACAGGCCCCGGGGACAGTGATGAAACCTGGCAGGAAAAGCCTTTCCCTGCCTTTGTCAGTTACCACTGCATCTAGGGCATTAGGATCTAAACCTGGTTTTGTGAAACACATGTTTTTCTAAATCGAGTTTTTCATAGATAAACTATGAAGTTAAGGGGAAGGGAAAGAAAGTCAATATACATTCAGGCTTGCAAGACTCCTTCAGAGAGCTGTGGAAATCTAGCTGCCTGCCCTGTGTACAATGGCTGCACCAAACAGGGCCTTCCTAGGTGGCCACCTGGCATCTATTCTTGCTCTAGGAGGCCAAGAACCAAAAGGAGAGAAAGAAGAGGGCCAACCGCCTAGAATTTGTGTTTTAGATACAAATTAGATGTAAAGTTTCAGATGAACTCCAAATACACAGGCAGAC